AAATAGTACATACTAATATATAATATAAAAATAACTAACTATAGCCTACCTCTCTATTATTAACTAGGTAGCTTCCCTAAGGAGCTCTATTACGCGCGCAAAGCGTGCCTTAGAGTCTATAGGGAGCTGCCTAGGTTACCCTATCCTAGGATCTATAGGGGGAACCTTAGAGAAGCTAGAGTCCTTATCTTCTAATAAGGAGCTCTAGGCGCCCTTAGCTATAGAAGCAGCCTTGCGCGCAAGCTTAGCGGCAGCAGCAGCGGCTTTTACTAGCTCCTGCTATTTAGCCTTACTCTCCTTAAGGAGCACTAAGACCCTCTGCTTCTTATCCTTAAGAAGGTCTTAGCTCTTACCTACCTACTTCCTTGCTAGGAAGGACAGTGCAGAGCGTTAGGCAAGCTTAGGGCTATTAATTAGTTTATTAGTATAAGATCTTGCTAAAAGTGTTATAAAGGAAAAATTCTTGTATAGATTATATATATTAGGACACAGCTATACCTAGAGAAGTACTACTAGCACTAAGTCCCCCTACTAGAAGAGTTATAGCACTTGCTATTAGACTTGTTAAAGAGCGCTAAGCGTAGACAATTTAAACAAGTTTTAGCATAATAAATGCTAGGCTCTCTACAGCAGGAGGATCTTAGGGTCTCCTTAGGAGCTAGAGAGGGAGTAGGAGTGGGGACATAGGGCGGGGTCTAGGGAGGAGTAGAAGCTAGAGTAGTAGGAGCTAGAGCAGGAGCGCCTTTCCTTAGCTTCGCGATCTTAACTATAGCAGTAGTAGCTACGCGCTTAGCTACTACACGCTCTACAATAGCCTTACGCTTAGTAGTAGCGCGCTCTTCTTTGGCAGTAGTAGCTTTAGTAACTATAGCTTTAGCTACGTAGGAGGTAATAAGGGCAGCGCGGGTAGAGTAAGCGCAAGTAGTATTTTTTAACTTTAACTAAGATATAGGTTAGTAGGGATATAGGTATAGTTTAGATCTTTAGTTGTATAATCTTATAATTTAAGCTATAGTAAAGATTATAGTTAGGTAGATAGAGTTATAGAGCCTAGTCTAGATAATATCTAAGCGCGCGAGCGCGTGCTAAATAAGGAAGGCGCGCTAGTTAGTATCTAAAGGGTAAGCTAATTTAACCCTTTAGATATACAACGCTCTAATTAGCTACACTACCTACTAACTATAGGCGTAACTATAATAATAAAAGATCTACCTATACCTAGGGGGTGTGTTGCAGGAGGGATATTAACTAGATTACAGAGTATCTTAAGCTAATTAATCCTGATTAATACCCCTGTATAACCCACTATCTAATTAACTACCAGCTTACTGCTAAGTGCCTAATAAAAAGCAGGAGCTCTAGTAAGGAAGGTTTACTAATTATTTACCTTCTAGTAAGGGTAGCTGAAGCTCTATATATATGAGTCCAATTGTAGTAGATATAATCTAATAATCTATCTCCTAAATCATTCCTAACCTTAGTGATCTAAACTTCCACACTATCCTTTAATATTAGGAACGTTGTATACCTTAGCTTGCGCATACAGGATTATCCACTCCTTCTACTAGTAATTAGCGTCTTGGCTACTTATCTTTGCCTTAGCAAGATAAGCTTTATACTGCGATCTTGCTAGTGTTGCAGCGCTTAAGTTAGTTAGCGCTAGGTTATTACAGAGCACTTAGATTAGTGCTTAGAGGGTTACTCTTCCTTAATTAACAAGCTCTATATAGGCTAGGGTAAGGATCCCTTAATCTACTATATTATTAACCTATATAAAGAGGTTCTAGATTACTAATAACTTTAATACTTAATCTAATAAGCGAGCTTAGTACTATACTATTTAGAGTTTGTACTGCTTGCTTATTGTATTAGATAGCGCGATATCTGTTAGCATGTTAGGCTTAATAGGTTTATTCTTAAAGTGGTTTTTAGTATCTAGAGCCTTAGGGTCTACCTCTACCTAGATCCCTTTAGTTAGGGTATGGTATCTAAATTAAATATACTAGGTAGGCCAGTTAGTTAATCTAGTAAGTAGGATATCCCCCTTTAGGATTTAGTCGCTTATAGTAGAAGAGTAATAAGTAAGCTTTTTGCTTAAGAAATAGTATAAAGAAAGAGTAAAGCTTTACTAGCTTAGTGTCTAAGTTAAACAATACGCTTAAATAGATAGGACAATCTTTAATAAGGTAAAGCGCGAACTAGGCTTATAACTGTGGAAATTTAGATTACTAAGGTTAGGAATAATTTAGGAGATAGATTATTAGATTATATCTACTACAATTAGACTTATATATATAGAGCTTTAGCTACCCTTACTAGAAGGTAAATAATTAGTAAACCTTCCTTACTAGAGCTCCTGCTTTTTGTTAGGCACTTAGCAGTAAGCTGGTAGTCAATCAGATAGTGGGTCATACAGGGGTATTGACCAGGATTGATTAGGATTGATCGGGATCAAGATGCTCCGTGATCCAGTTGATATCCCTCCTGCAACAACTAATACTATTAATACTAGTCGCGGGCCATCCAGCGGCATCCCCTGCAGTACTAATTTACTAGCTGCAGGATGTTAACCAATTTGGGTAAGGTAAGGCTTATAACCAGGACACTTTTCTTATTGCGACCCGGACGAATAACGTTTCCCCTCCCCCTGGTGTAGGGTTAGCACCATTGGTGAATGGAGTAAGCACTATGGGTGAATAGAGTAAGCACTATGGGTGAATAGAGTAAGCACTATGGGGGATACGAATAACAATTCCCACTTCGCTAAACTACCAAAAGAGTAAGCATATGATCCATAAATATTAATATGCACGAACAGGACAGTATATATAGGCGCAGGGCACTCTACACCCTATAGTCTACCTATGCGCCGCCCCTTAGCGACCATGGCTTAAGACATGCGCCACCCCCCTTAGCGACGCCATAGCCTGCCATCCATAGCGAAGAGCCGGAGGCGGGCCGAAAGGGGTTTACTAGCGTTAGAGAGTACCTAAGTTTTAAATAGTACCTCCGTACATACACTACGTTGTACAATAGAAGATGCTTGTTAAGGGACTGTCTAAGTGCTCCCTCTCTCTAGAGTTTTAACTGTATAGGTATCTATTTAACCTCCATGTTGCCACAATATTTGAGTGAAGGAGAGTAAGACTACGCATCGTGTTACATCTGATGAGTTAGTTATCATGGCCCTATTGCTATATTTACTTAGACTGGCCAAAGCTTTAGCTGTCGATCACCACTCAATACGATGCACGTACCTTATGGTATTACATACATATGTACGGAGGTGGCTTTTAAAAGTTCTTGCTGACAGGGGTGTCTATATTACCGCCGTGATACCACTGAAGCTTAGACTACTCTGTCGCGCCGCCCCTCCGTATACTTATTACTACCTTCTAGTCTAATAATCTACTAAATATAATATTATATACGCTCTATCCAAGCCTAGATTTAGTATTAAGGTAGCTTATCCTAAGCCTTTAACTATGCTTTTGTACCCTCTGCTCTACTCTTAAGAGCGCCCTTCCTAATAGTGCGTGGTAAAATACCTGTGATAGCACTAATTTAGGCAGTAGATTTGCTACTAAAAGGTAACTTTAGAGTCACAATAAGCGCACAGGTATAGGGATTAGTATTAGGAGCTATAGTAGAGTAAAAATACTAAAGGATTAAGTAGATAGACTATTACTACCACTATCTACAGCTTTAAAATTAAGTGTGTGTGGGCTAAGAAAGTAGGGCCAATAGATCAGCCGCTAACAAATACGCTAGCAAGAACTTTTGAAAGCCACCTCCGTACAGAGTAAAGCGATCTGGACACCATTATTATGTCTCAGGGAAGCTGCGCTTGCGTATCAGGCCCGAATGTATCCCTCCATTCCGTATAAATAGAAGGCTCTCCAAAGCACAAGTTT